GTTCAGAAGAAAATTCAATTTAAACTTGTGACGTAGATTTTAGTTTGATTTTGTTTAATTTAATTTATGGATAAAGAAAACCAAAAGAAATAATATTTGCAAAACTAGAATCAGTTACGAAAAAAATCTAAGGACATTGATTTTTGTTTTTAGTTAATACAACAATCAATTACGAAAAGAGATAAAAAATAATAATCTTACAGTCTTTAAAGTCTCACTTACGGGACTTTAGAAAAATAGAAGTCTAAAGAGTAAAAGAGAAAAGTGGGTGGTTAAGGCGGTAGAGAAAAAAAAAAAGAGATCTAAAGTCTAATTGGCAAAATTTTGACTGTTAAAACTTTTAAACATGATAAAACCCTTACAGTCACAACACCAATCACCCCCAAGATTAGAAAACACGAAGAAAAATAACAGATTTACGTTGCCCATCAACAATGTATTAGCTACATTTATGAGTAAAATATACATAGTTTACTATTGGAGAAAATGATAATTTATAACAACAAAGCAAAAAGAAAAACATAATACATGTAAAAGTTTCTAATTAAACTTTAAATTAATTTAGATCTTAGCGGTATGTTCAAATAGAATATATAATCCAAGTCCATATTGTTAGATTAGGAGTCTCTGTCATTCGGAACCCCATGCATATTGGCCTCGTCTCTTGAATCTCTGATTTGATTTACAGCAAATTTTGTTACCGAATACGTAATTACGACAAAATATGTAAAATATCTATTGTAGATGATAAATCATTTTTTATCTGCACCATGTCTACCTGAAGATACAAAAATTTGCAACTAATAATTATTACATAAACATGATTACTCATGGATTTCAACTTAAACAGTTTTCGTATATAAAATAAATGTTGGTAAGGTTTTACTAGGTCACGTGGATTTCAGTTTTACTTTTTCCTATGAAGCTTTTAATTTGGTCATTGCAATCGATTACAAGTTGTCTCCATTTGATTTTATTAAGAAATGGTACAATGGAATAAATATATTGCAAAAGAATAAATCCAAACGCTACCGTCCACACCA